AGTAAAAGAGGAGCTGGAGGATGAAGCCTTAGATTTTCTGTGATTACACATGACAAGTACTTCATTTCCTTGATGTCACTCTCGTCTACATATCCCCTTTTCCCCGCCACTCTTCTTACCTCTTCTTGGACTTTCTTCATCACCCGTGGATTTTGCGAAAGCTCAGACATTAACCACAGCATTGATGTCCAACTAGTATCACTTCCCCCAACAAACATGTCCTAAATCATGAAATTAACAAGCCAAATCAATCTTCATCCATATATATTTTTATTAGAAAATTATACGTAAAACCAAAAGTATTAGGGTTTATCAATGTTCAAGATAAAGTAAGTGAATGAGTATAATGTGAGTATAGTAAGCTAGGGAGGGGGGAATATAGACCTGCATAAGTGCTTTGACATTGAACTCAAAGTCGAGCGAGCCATCCTTTTCAAGGTCGAGGAGTAAATCCACAATATCCTTCTTACGAGGCTTACCGTCTTTCTGCGCTGCTTTATGTTCGTCAATCAACTTATCATAAAATCCATCAAATTCACGTCGAATTGATTTCAAACGTGCAATGTAGCCTCTGGCACGGTCAACCCATTTCAAAGAAGGGTAGAAATCTCCAAAGCTGAAAGTCATCATCTGAACCATCAACTCCTTTATGACCTTTTCAAACCAATTGTCTTCTTTGTCCTCAAACTTCTGTCCAAGAACGCACCTGCAGATGATGTTGTTGGAGGTTGACACCAGCAGCGGCCCCAGATTGATGGGAACCCCGTTCGTGCTGGCGGAGGCTTTGCGAATCTTGCTGACCAGCTCTGCACATTCTTCCACCCTTGCGTACTGAAACTGCTGCACTCTTTTCAGGCTCAGAAGCTCAAGAACAACAACTTTTCGAGCTTTTCTCCAGTACTCCCCGTAAGGAGCAAACGCAACGTTATAGCCGTCGAAGAACAATATAGTTGCAGCTGTAGTTTGAGGCCGGCCGGAGAAACCAATGTCTTGGTTCTTCATCATGTCCTTGGCCAGTTCTGCAGATGAAACTACCAGCGTTGGAAGTTTGCCAAAGTGCATGAGCATTATATCGCCATACTTCTTCGACAGATCACGAAGAGAGCGGTGTGGGAATTTGCCTAGCTGGTGAAGGTTCCCAATCAGAGGCAGTGTTGGTGGGGAAGGTGGCAGTTTGTAGTTTTTCCCACTTGAAGATGATCTTGTAAGTGAAAACAAAATGTATGCAGAAAGCAAGAGAAGAGGAAGCAGGAAAATATTGCTCTGAAGCTGTTGCCACATTTCA